AATCTAGATATAGAATTAATTCCGACACCACAAAATCTGCATCTTTGAAAACATAAAACTTCTCCCTTGTAATTTAATTCCAACATAAAGAAATTTAACATCATAAAAACAAAAGTACAATTACAAGTCCAAAGTGAGATAAGGTTCAAATTTATAAATTTATAAGTCCAATTCATCTAATTGACACCTACCCATGATAACATCATCTGTCAATAAATTCATTCATCATGTTGTCCCATGTCAAGATTATTAGAAGCACCCATGGAAGAAGGCCCTCCAATGTTCCATCTTTGTGAGGTACTTCATCCAATGTTCCTATTTTTTTTAAAAATGGACAAATTTTCTGACAATATTGATAATCAATGTTTTGAATATTATTTAATTTGTTTTCTGGCAACCAAGACCATTTCTTTCCCTATTTTGTTTTATTGTAATTTAATTCACAATTAAGACAAGATTGTCATAATATTACAGTGTGTATATAAATACACACTCTGTCATAGAAAAAAGGGGACGAAAGAATAGAGAGAAGGAGAAACAGGCAGAAATAATAAAAAGAGAGAAAGACAATATAGAAAAAAATAGGTTCTCACCCATAAGGGTTCTGTCAACGACAATCACCAAAGAAGAAATAGAAGAGTATTGAAAGCTAAAAGTATGTCACATCTACATCATTATTTTTTCCCTTTTTATTGTACTCTGAAGTTTTTCCTAAAGGTATTATTTTTCCTACATACAAATAATGTTTTTTTTAAATCATAAATTTTTTTATAAGTATTTCCCACCATTCTTAAGTAATAATAAAATACAAGATCTTTAAAACCAAAACAAATGTCAATCTTGTTAAACCAAATCTTTGTTGGATTCGCTTTTCAAAAATCTAAATCAGTCTATAATAATTTTTAAAACAAACTCATTAAAGGTACTGCTTTTAGGCTGGTGCAGTAGGTGCTAATACCTTCCTTACTCGTAACCAATTCCCGAACCTAAAATCTACTTTTCGTAGACCATGTCTTAATCCCGTTTGTTTTTCGGCTTGCCATCCCGTCGCGATCCCGGTTGCGACAAAATATATTACAAAAANCTAAAATCTACTTTTCGTAGACCATGTCTTAATCCCGTTTGTTTTTCGGCTTGCCATCCCGTCGCGATCCCGGTTGCGACAAAATATATTACAAAAAAATGTATATATCGAATTTTGAAATATGTTATACTACTTAATCGGATTTCGAAATTTGATAGAATACTTAATCAGATTTAGAAGTTTGTTAGACTACTTAATCGGATTTCGAAATTCGATAAACTACTTAACCAGATTTGAAAATCCGGTAAATTATTTAACCAGATTTCAAAATTCAATAGACTATTTAATCGATTCGGTACCTTTCTCGAATTTGTAACATTTCTTATACCGAATTTTCAAAATTTGATATCTTATTTTATTAGATTTTGAAATTTAATTCTTTGTCTAACGGATTTTCTAAATATGGTACAAATAGTCCAAACACAATTTTATTTCCTATTTTCCTACGAATTTCAACATCTAGTAAAAATATCACATAATACTATCCTAAATAAACAATAAATAAAATTATATAAATATTACTTACTTGATTGAGCGATTGGTTTTCAAAGAGAGGTTCTAGCATGTGTGGGGAAGGGAAGTGAAAAATAAGTGTAGTAAAAGTGAAAGAGGAAAAGAGTATGTTGTGTGGTGTAGGATGGGGGAGAAGGTGAAAAAGGAGAGAGAAATTAAAAATGTTGTGTTGTTGTTTGCCTGGGGTTGAGATGAGTGTTGTGAGGAAATAAATATAGGAGAGAAATTACGTTTTAGGTTTTTACCATAGTCAAGATAATAAAGGACTTTAGAGAAAATTAAGGTGGAGAAAGAAAAATTGAAGGTGCAGCAAGAAACCCAGATGAAACAATAAAAAGCCCGAAATACAGAACTAGGAAAGCCAGTAGGATAAAGTTTTAGTTTAGCTAGTGACACAGGTAATTATTTATTTGAGTTTTTAATTATTTTTGAAAGAAAGTGGTACATTTTAAAATATAATCTAAATTAACATATTAAGCATTATAAATAAACAAATATTAGAGCAAAATATTTAAATTAAAAATAAAATAATAATTTGATAAATTCAATATCTTATTTCTGTGTTCGTAAATATATATAGTTATCTTATTTTATCAGTATTATATGAAAAATAGATTGTCAAATATTTTGTCGTTTATATATTGATTTTTCATTGTAACTATTTTGACTTTATCATCTCATATTCGTTACAAGTTTTAAACTGAATATTTAATTTATATTTAAAGAAACATTATTACCGTCTCTTTAGATAAACTCAAAGAGAGAGAATAGAAAATATTTAAAGAAACATTATTTGAGGAAATTTTGAAGTAAAATCAGTGGATGTTTTCAAGAAAAAGAAAATAATGTTTTTGAAAAGGTGTAGATGTTCTCGTGACAGACTTGTTGAATCAATTGATGTTTTTGTAAGTATTTGTATTCTTTATTTGTCATCTTTTATAACATTTGTATCTCAAATAACTTCAGAATTTGAGTGTTTTTGCATGCACAGTAACTCTCTCCAACGTCTCTTTGAACAGAGGAATTTTTCAAGCAACTATAAAGCCTTAAAAACAAGACGCACTCTCGTAAATATTAACTACCATTTGAAAATTATTCATATGGTACATTTTTTAGTTGAATAAAAAAATAAAAAGTTACTTACAAATGGACTCAGGAATTTGTATGTTGTATAATGGAAAAAGAAGGAAAATACTTATTCGTTCATTGACTTTAAAATGCAGAAATGGAACATAATAATTAGTCTAATAAAGCTACGGTCCCATATACGAAGGGTTTTGAGTGGAAAGTATTATTACCTTTCGGTTTGTAATTATAGTATGGGTATTGTTATACTAAGGATAATGAATAGGAGCAAAAGATTAATTAAATTGAAAGAATTACTTTACTAAAGTCAAAGAACTAACTGGGTAGGAGCGAAGATTTGGTGAAAAAAGAAGAATGAGAAGGACAAGACATGTCTTGTAAGGTGTGACTTATGATTCGTTAAGCCAAGGTAAGGTAAGGGGACACACACAGAAACAAGAAGGGGGAAGAAAGAAAAAGAAAGATGCTTCCACTAAAGCTGGTTCGTTCTCTGGTCTTAGGGGAAACCATCAACCACAACCCTCATCACATGCTAACCCAAAATCACCACCATTACCACACCCATTATCACGAAGATACTGATGTTCATGATGAAGCCCGTGCCACATCCCAACCCCACCATCGTAGAAGAAGGAGAAGAAGAACAAGAACAACAAGGTACAAAATCCCAGCTTTGATTTTTCTCCCAACAAAAGAGATCATTAGAGACACATATAGGCTTGCTACCATTGCAAGGGACTTGGGTTTCGATTTGTACCCTACACCCTCACTTTCTCACATCATCTTCTCCAACCCATCATCACCATCATCATCATCATCATCATCCAAACCCTCATCATTATCTTTCTCTTCTTCTTCCTGCTCCCTCCAAAGCGATGCCGTTCCCATTCCCTTCCCTTCCCTCTCCGCAACCCCACTCACCCATCTTCGCTGCTTCCTCACGCTCTCCCCACGCGCCTTCAAGATCGTCCTTTTCAGCTCCCACCCTGACGCAGCCGCTGCCGCCGGAAACGCCGGCAACTGGGACTGCGACTCTTTCTCTCTCTACTCGCGGGACCTCAGCCATCGGGTCGGCACCATGGAGGAGTTTTGTCGGATTCTTGCTGGCAAAGGTTGGAGCTTTTATAAAACCAAGAAAAACCCTTCTTCCGACCAGCGGCGCGGCGGCGCTTTTTACCTTTTCAGAAGGGTGGAGATGAACCGGGTTCGGCTTGGAGCACCGGTGGATGGGGCATGCAGAGTGAGGGAATTGAGGCTGCCATACTTGGATTTTGGAAACGCTCCGTTGAGGATTTTGCAGTATATTTTGTTGATGACTGATAATATCTTCTGTTTGGCATGACATGTTCGTAAGTGTTCTATTACTTTTTTTTTTCTTTTTAGATTTTACTAGTTTTTTTTAAAAGATTTTAGTTTTCATGAATTTTTTTTGTGAGAAATCACCCGACTTTTACAGTTACTATAAAAGTCAGCCATTTATCATGTATGGCAATTTTTGTGATTCGGATGATTCATGATGGGTTCAATGTGTAATGTGTACTACATTCTGATTAAAAAATTTTCAAAAAGAAAAAGAAAATGCTGTGTTGAATGCTTTGACTTTGAGGGTTGTTAGATGATGATAAGAGATGGGCAACGAAAAGGGCTCATGTGGTTTGGTCTTGTAATGGGTGGTGTTGGAAGAGATGTTCAATGAAGCTTAGGAATGAACCCTTCGTGATGTTGGAAGGGGCATCATCACTCAGCAGATCTGGAATATGGTGTGTTGCCACCTCTGTATAGTCATGTATGGATGCAGTTACAGCTGATTAAAGGTTATGCAAGTTTCTAAGCTAGTGTTACCTTAAGACCTACAACTCCATATATTCATATCCCTCTATGCTTCTTTAGCCAAAAAGATGTAGCACATTTCAATAACTAAAGTGTCTAAAACTTGATAATACCATTTCTTCTGTCGAATTGGTGTGAAATTCTAACCATTCATTTCAACAAAAGCTTATATGCAATGACAGAATTTGTTGTTTCCATCTTTGCAATAGTAATTAAAACACCAGAAACATAATTATTGTCAACATTGTCAGCAATACCATCTCTTGCTGTTGTTTCCATCTATTCACAGTCAATGCCTGTAAGGGGTCTATAATCACTTGAATTCCCTTGGCGTTTTAGACACACTGGGAATATTTTGTATCCATTTGTTGTTTTATAGCTCCAATCATTTCGGAACTCTGAATTAGTGAAGACGACCTATGAGTGCACACATTTATCCATCATTAACCAGCAGGAATCATGAGGATTGTCTCAATAATAAAATACCTGATTTCTGATTATTGATTTTTGTCCTACTTCTTTAGGATCAATGGTGTGAACTTCTAAAGGTTAGACAGATTTCATGTCCAACCATCATACAGAAAACAAAACTCTTCTGAATTGAAATATTATGACAATGTATCAAATAATTCTCTCATCTTAGTTCATTGGGATTTAAATTTGAAATCGAACGAAATTACAATACAAGAAAAATAGAATTGGATATAGGATCACATTACTTTTTGTTGGTATTTTCAGAGACGATAAGTGATATGGCAGTGACACTTATCCGTACTTGTGTTTTAGTTGATTTTGTAGTTTTCCCATGACTGCGAAAGTTTTTTTATGAAGTTTTGAAATGAATTCATCGGATAAGGTTATGTTGTAGAAATTTCATATTTTCAAGCAACTTGTGGGATTAGTTAATCTGAATTTTGATGTCCTTATATTCCGAACCTTTCTCTAACAACATCTTTGACAGGGTAATTGAGATAAGAGAATTATACATGAGTTTTCTCATAATGGGAAATTGAAATTGGGTGTTGATATATTTACATAGAGGTGGATGGAGTTATTCACAAAGCATGAATGTATTTAAGCAAGAGCGAATGCGATAATCCAATTACAGTTCACCTTCACCCTGTTACTTTCTCCTGCACATCACGTGTAATTAAAACATGGTTAAATTATTCCAGTAATATCCAATCTTTTGTAGCGAAATTGTAAATTGGTTATTGTATTTTTACTTGTTTGGATTTGATTTCTAATTTAAAAAAATGATTCAGTTAGATTTTTTTAAGTATTGCACTCGTATTAAAGAGATAAGAGATGTCACTTGTCATATCATGATTTCTTTTTTAAATAATTTTTAATTTTTTTAATCTTTTCAAAATTTAAAAAATTAAAATTTTGTCACGTCATTGTGTAATATGTAATTAATAACATGATGTAGTAGTATCAATGTAACTATTTTAGTTATTGTATTTTTATTTTATTTTAATTCAGTCCTGTTTTATTTTAAAATTAAATAATTTTATTTAAATGAAAACAATTTAATTTTTATATAAATATTATACAAAAGATTTTATTAAATATTTTTAACAAAATTAAATTTATTTATATTTATATTTTATATTGAATTTTATTTAAAATTGTTTTAAATACTTTAAATAGTGAGAAGTTTGATCATTATAAAAAAGATTATTACTCAAACAAGTGTTTCAGTTGTGTTAAAGTTATATATTTGCAAGAGTATTAATCTAAGAATTAAAAGGAAGGTGTTGAAGAAGAAGTGACATTGTTAACGGTAACACGTAGTTTGAGAACCAAACACAAGCAAGGGAAGAACTCAACAAGACAATCGAGTTGGTGGCATAGGTCTATAAGATATTCAATGTCCTAGACAACGCAATGGAGTATATGAAAAGCTTGAGTAATTCGGTAGAGTAAGTAAACAACCCAGATAGTTCGGTGAGAAGTCTATGTAGGGTAAGAAATTCGAATAGCTCTCAGTGAAGCCAGTGAACATCTCAAAAAAATCGATGGNGAACATAATAATTAGTCTAATAAAGCTACGGTCCCATATACGAAGGGTTTTGAGTGGAAAGTATTATTACCTTTCGGTTTGTAATTATAGTATGGGTATTGTTATACTAAGGATAATGAATAGGAGCAAAAGATTAATTAAATTGAAAGAATTACTTTACTAAAGTCAAAGAACTAACTGGGTAGGAGCGAAGATTTGGTGAAAAAAGAAGAATGAGAAGGACAAGACATGTCTTGTAAGGTGTGACTTATGATTCGTTAAGCCAAGGTAAGGTAAGGGGACACACACAGAAACAAGAAGGGGGAAGAAAGAAAAAGAAAGATGCTTCCACTAAAGCTGGTTCGTTCTCTGGTCTTAGGGGAAACCATCAACCACAACCCTCATCACATGCTAACCCAAAATCACCACCATTACCACACCCATTATCACGAAGATACTGATGTTCATGATGAAGCCCGTGCCACATCCCAACCCCACCATCGTAGAAGAAGGAGAAGAAGAACAAGAACAACAAGGTACAAAATCCCAGCTTTGATTTTTCTCCCAACAAAAGAGATCATTAGAGACACATATAGGCTTGCTACCATTGCAAGGGACTTGGGTTTCGATTTGTACCCTACACCCTCACTTTCTCACATCATCTTCTCCAACCCATCATCACCATCATCATCATCATCATCATCCAAACCCTCATCATTATCTTTCTCTTCTTCTTCCTGCTCCCTCCAAAGCGATGCCGTTCCCATTCCCTTCCCTTCCCTCTCCGCAACCCCACTCACCCATCTTCGCTGCTTCCTCACGCTCTCCCCACGCGCCTTCAAGATCGTCCTTTTCAGCTCCCACCCTGACGCTGCCGCTGCCGCCGGAAACGCCGGCAACTGGGACTGCGACTCTTTCTCTCTCTACTCGCGGGACCTCAGCCATCGGGTCGGCACCATGGAGGAGTTTTGTCGGATTCTTGCTGGCAAAGGTTGGAGCTTTTATAAAACCAAGAAAAACCCTTCTTCCGACCAGCGGCGCGGCGGCGCTTTTTACCTTTTCAGAAGGGTGGAGATGAACCGGGTTCGGCTTGGAGCACCGGTGGATGGGGCATGCAGAGTGAGGGAATTGAGGCTGCCATACTTGGATTTTGGAAACGCTCCGTTGAGGATTTTGCAGTATATTTTGTTGATGACTGATAATATCTTCTGTTTGGCATGACATGTTCGTAAGTGTTCTATTACTTTTTTTTTTCTTTTTAGATTTTACTAGTTTTTTTTAAAAGATTTTAGTTTTCATGAATTTTTTTTGTGAGAAATCACCCGACTTTTACAGTTACTATAAAAGTCAGCCATTTATCATGTATGGCAATTTTTGTGATTCGGATGATTCATGATGGGTTCAATGTGTAATGTGTACTACATTCTGATTAAAAAATTTTCAAAAAGAAAAAGAAAATGCTGTGTTGAATGCTTTGACTTTGAGGGTTGTTAGATGATGATAAGAGATGGGCAACGAAAAGGGCTCATGTGGTTTGGTCTTGTAATGGGTGGTGTTGGAAGAGATGTTCAATGAAGCTTAGGAATGAACCCTTCGTGATGTTGGAAGGGGCATCATCACTCAGCAGATCTGGAATATGGTGTGTTGCCACCTCTGTATAGTCATGTATGGATGCAGTTACAGCTGATTAAAGGTTATGCAAGTTTCTAAGCTAGTGTTACCTTAAGACCTACAACTCCCTATATTCATATCCCTCTATGCTTCTTTAGCCAAAAAGATGTAGCACATTTCAATAACTAAAGTGTCTAAAACTTGATAATACCATTTCTTCTGTCGAATTGGTGTGAAATTCTAACCATTCATTTCAACAAAAGCTTATATGCAATGACAGAATTTGTTGTTTCCATCTTTGCAATAGTAATTAAAACACCAGAAACATAATTATTGTCAACATTGTCAGCAATACCATCTCTTGCTGTTGTTTCCATCTATTCACAGTCAATGCCTGTAAGGGGTCTATAATCACTTGAATTCCCTTGGCGTTTTAGACACACTGGGAATATTTTGTATCCATTTGTTGTTTTATAGCTCCAATCATTTCGGAACTCTGAATTAGTGAAGACGACCTATGAGTGCACACATTTATCCATCATTAACCAGCAGGAATCATGAGGGTTGTCTCAATAATAAAATACCTGATTTCTGATTATTGATTTTTGTCCTACTTCTTTAGGATCAATGGTGTGAACTTCTAAAGGTTAGACAGATTTCATGTCCAACCATCATACAGAAAACAAAACTCTTCTGAATTGAAATATTATGACAATGTATCAAATAATTCTCTCATCTTAGTTCATTGGGATTTAAATTTGAAATCGAACGAAATTACAATACAAGAAAAATAGAATTGGATATAGGATCACATTACTTTTTGTTGGTATTTTCAGAGACGATATGTGATATGGCAGTGACACTTATTTGTGTTTTAGTTGATTTTGTAGTTTTCCCATGACTGCGAAAGTTTTTTTATGAAGTTTTGAAATGAATTCATCGGATAAGGTTATGTTGTAGAAATTTCATATTTTCAAGCAACTTGTGGGATTAGTTAATCTGAATTTTGATGTCCTTATCTTCCGAACCTTTCTCTAACAACATCTTTGACAGGGTAATTGAGATAAGAGAATTATACATGAGTTTTCTCATAATGGGAAATTGAAATTGGGTGTTGATATATTTACATAGAGGTGGATGGAGTTATTCACAAAGCATGAATGTATTTAAGCAAGAGCGAATGCGATAATCCAATTACAGTTCACCTTCACCCTGTTACTTTCTCCTGCACATCACGTGTAATTAAAACATGGTTAAATTATTCCAGTAATATCCAATCTTTTGTAGCGAAATTGTAAATTGGTTATTGTATTTTTACTTGTTTGGATTTGATTTCTAATTTAAAAAAAATTATTCAGTTAGATTTTTTTAAGTATTGCACTCGTATTAAAGAGATAAGAGATGTCACTTGTCATATCATGATTTCTTTTTTAAATAATTTTTAATTTTTTTAATCTTTTCAAAATTTAAAAAATTAAAATTTTGTCACGTCATTGTGTAATATGTAATTAATAACATGATGTAGTAGTATCAATGTAACTATTTTAGTTATTGTATTTTTATTTTATTTTAATTCAGTCCTGTTTTATTTTAAAATTAAATAATTTTATTTAAATGAAAACAATTTAATTTTTATATAAATATTATACAAAAGATTTTATTAAATATTTTTAACAAAATTAAATTTATTTATATTTATATTTTATATTGAATTTTATTTAAAATTGTTTTAAATACTTTAAATAGTGAGAAGTTTGATCATTATAAAAAAGATTATTACTCAAACAAGTGTTTCAGTTGTGTTAAAGTTATATATTTGCAAGAGTATTAATCTAAGAATTAAAAGGAAGGTGTTGAAGAAGAAGTGACATTGTTAACGGTAACACGTAGTTTGAGAACCAAACACAAGCAAGGGAAGAACTCAACAAGACAATCGAGTTGGTGGCATAGGTCTATAAGATATTCAATGTCCTAGACAACGCAATGGAGTATATGAAAAGCTTGAGTAATTCGGTAGAGTAAGTAAACAACCCAGATAGTTCGGTGAGAAGTCTATGTAGGGTAAGAAATTCGAATAGCTCTCAGTGAAGCCAGTGAACATCTCAAAAAAATCGATGGGCATTCTTGATAGTTCGGTGGAACATGTAAATAACTCAAATAGATAAGTGGAGAAAGTGGAGCTTAAATAATTTAGTGAACCGTCTAGAAAGCTCAATAATACATCTGTACAATTAGGATAGCTCGAACATGTGTAGAAACGAACTTATTATTCAAAGGTTAAAGATTGAAAAAAGTTATTTGCAAAAAAGAATTGAAAATAAGGTCAGAGATAATGCAATCTTACAAAAGCAAGCTTAGAAAAAATAAAATAAGCTTTACAAAAGCAACATTTAGGTTTCAAAATTGTAAGAACAATTATAAGTCAAGAAGGATACATAAGTGTTAGATAAGAAGTGACAAGAAGTGGATGATAAGATCAATGCGTTTGAGCACAAAATATATGAGTGTGGTTCGATATCTCAAAAGCAGAAAAGCAGTTGGACCTATTGACAAAAATCCAATTATTGACAAATTAGCCATAAAGACAAAAGAGAACCTAGTTAAAAATTAGTTGATTATGAAGAAAGAAAAAAACTCAACCATTTATAAAAGGAGCAAATATGGTGTAAAAAGAATTACTGCACTATAAAGAATAGAATAACTAAGACCAAGAATAAAAGAAACATATAGTTTTGTTGGGTTTATAATAAATTTAAATGAATTATTAAGAGTAATTAATGTATTAGGCATTAAAACTTTATGGATATTTAATGTATTAACCGTTTTTAGTGGAATACAATGGTCATAAAAATTAAGTCTATAAATTGTATTGATAATTACATAAATGAAACAACAACAACATAGTGGTAAATCAAGTTCTTTCACTATGGGTTTGTCGTCTACTCTAAGAGATAAGTAGTAGAGCAAGAAGAAGAGAGAAAATCATAAATGTCCTTAAATTATAAGAAATGAGGAAGGAGGAAAACAGAGATGAACTTCTTTGATGTGCTGTTTACAGAGACCTAAGTCATATATACATATATATAAAATTGAGACAATAAGCATATCCTTGAATCTAAAAATAGAAGAGCGAAAAACCAAACTGGTTCGGTGAGAATATTAGTGAGCATATTAGCAACTTGAAACCTTGAAGCTTGCAGGAAGATGAATAAGCTGGAGAAACTTGTGTTAAATACTATCACGAACTAAATGTAGATCAATCTCAAAATACTTAAGAGTGCGTGATGGGATATATTTTTGGTATAATAGCAGTGATTCGAAGTCTAGGAAGAAGGGAAGTCACCCATGTGATTTCAGCAAGGACAGCAACAACACTCCTGAATTCAAATTCAATACTGCTTCAAGAAACAACTTTCTGTTTGTAAAGACCACGAGACAATATTTTTGCCAAGGTAAAAACAGTTACTAGTTGTGGATTTCCTACCGTAGAAATTAGATGCCCAATCAGCATCATTGAATCCAGTAACTGAGAGCTCTGAGCAGCGACAAAGAAGAAAACCATGATGTGAACTGTCGGTAAGATAACATAGAATCTGTTCTAGTGATGATTTTGAGATTGATGCATGTATTGACAGACATTCTTGATAGAGAAAACTAATTCTGGACGTTTGATTGTCAAATACTGTAAGGAACCAACAATAGAACGATAAAGACAGAGATCTGAAATAGTAGTCGTTCCATCCTATATAAAACGTAAAGAAGAGTTCATACATGAAGNTGTTTATGTACACCGGTGCACCAATCATATAGACACAAACGGTCTAAGTCATCTAACACTCCAAAAGGCATGTTACAAACATGCCTTGATTTCCTAGGGAAATAGAAAACAACCAAACAAACTAATATATATAACCTACACACTACATCAACATCAATGTTTTTATCATCAACAATGACATTAAACATGTCCGTCAAGTCCTTCAAACTGATGGTTTTTGATTTGAACATTTCACCAACCAATCCACCAACTACTTCATCAAAGGGAATCTCTAAACCACCTATTTCTAAACCTAAGCTCATCAACACATCAACAACTCTAAAGGGCACCAACTTTTGACTAACTCTAAAACTGTTATCATTTCCAACCCACCTGCTAACCATAACCTTCAATAATTTTAAATTCACCTCCACAGGCCTTTGAATATTCAAACACCACATAAATGGTGTCATCCTAATACGATCCACATGACACTGTCGGAGTAAACGATTCATTTCAATAATGATCGATGAATCCATCGAGATAAGAAGTCACCACTACAAAAAAAATCATAAAAAATTATTACTAACTACAATCCGTAAGATAATTAAATAATATATAAACACAACATTTAAATTTTTCTTACACTTGCTTTTTTCCCTTCCATTGAAACGGTCCTAACAACAGAGCGAGAACAAGGAGGACAGAAGGAGAGCGAGAGAGCGAGAGAGCGACAGCGAGAGCGAGACCGAGAGAGCGAGAGAACGAGAGAGCGAGACCGAGAGAGCGAGAGAACGAGAGAGCGAGAGCGATAGAACGAGAGAGCGAGAGAGCCACAGAGCGAGAGAGCGAGAGAGCGAGAGAGCCACACAGCGAGAGAGCGAGTGAGCGAGAAGGGTTGAACGAACGTCTTTCCCAGCCTAAACCGCGAAACCCAATTCTCAAAATTTTAACCTCGAAATCCCAAAATACCCCTCGCCCCGTAACCCTTTCTCTGTTTCATTTTCACTTTATTTGGCCAATCAAGAGCTGACACGTGGTGTTGTTAAATCTGTGTCAAAATTTGGTTGTCCAAATAACATTTTCCTATTTCTTAATCCCATATATAATTTTTACTGTATTTAATAAATTTGATTTTAAAAATCCAGTTACAGCCAACTTTAGTTGCACTAGGAGGTAGAGAAGTGAGAGTCCAGGTATTATTTTAAACATAGCCTTGAACCAGTAAGGATCAATAAGAGCTTCCTTTAGAGTGGTAGGTTAATGGAAAGTAGGAACCATAGCAGTAAAAGTCTTGGGTTATAAACTCCTTTCGCACAAGTAAACATTCTAAACAGGAAGTGAGGCAGGAGCAGTAGAATTTTCTGCAAACAATGGTGAAGAAGAGGAAATATTTATGTTTTCTGCAGAATTTTGGTACATAGAAGAAGGAGCAGAATAATGCAAAAATACAAGTATAGATGGACTACGAACAGAAATCCAGTTAGGAGTCCTAAGTTAGGATCATATTGACTTTTCCAGTATTAGTGTATCGTAAAATATCAAAGCACGTCGATGTCGTATTAGGAATGTTGCATTGGTAAAATAACGCATGAATAACACTTCAACAGTTAAAACTTAGTACTTGTATAATGCTTCTTATAATTCACAGTACAGATAAAATATCCTCATTTTCAGACAGACACAACACAGACACAAGATTCCTTAAAAGTGACGAAAGCAAAACATAGAGATTTTATACACATGTTGGTCTTTAACCAGAAATTTGAATGGGTTTAACATCAGGCTTCTTGACCTCTTCCTTTGGAATGGTGACAGTGAGAACCCCGTTTTCAATGGAAGCCTTGACTTGATCGACTTTAGCATTTTCTGGCAATCTGAACTTCCTTAAGAACTTACCACTGCTACGCTCCACGCGGTGCCACTTATCGTTTTTATCTTCTTTCTCAACGTTTCTCTCTCCGCTTATCTGAAGAACCTTGTCATCTTCAATCTCAACCTTCACCTGCTCCTTCTTCAGTCCTGGAATATCAGCCTTCAACACGTGCGCTTCTGGGGTCTCCTTCCAATCCACTCGGGTGTTCACAAACCCAGAATTCTCAGCAGAAAGCGAAGATGGAAACTGAAAATCTTTGAACGGATCCCACACGTCAAGAGAAAAAGGATCAAAGACGTTGCTCCTTCGACCACCAAACAGACTTGGGATAAGCGACATTTTCTCTTCTTTGCTTAGCTGATGTCTTGTTTTGAACTCTGCAAAAATGTTGTCTGAATTGTTAGCAGATACCGGATTTCTTGTATGTTGATGTGTGGGAGTACACATGAGGTATTTAAACGAATTTAAGGGATAATCTCGTATCCTCCAGAAAATGTTTTTTTTTGGATAAGTATGAAGATTCTTTCGGAAAATTCGAAAATCTTCCAGAATTCTTCTCACCAGCCACAGGGATCTAGATACTATTTTATGAGTTGGGCTGGATTGTTAAAAAGCAATGAAGCCCGAATGATTTGAAATGGGCTACAATTTTTATTTTTCAGACCATTTCTTCTTGTAACCCCATAAATTTTAAGGAAAATATTTTTTAACAACTTTTTTTGACAACTTTTTTACAACATTTATGTAGTGACTTGTGATTGGTCCAATAAATTTAAACAGACCAATAAAATAGTGACATGTATTCTATTGTTAGAAAATTGTTATAAAAAGTTGTTAACATATCAGAGTCTAAATTTTAAACTTTCCCTTTTACATGCACGTGGGAGCTTCTATCACCCTTCCTCCGTAGTTTTCATTATTTTTCTTGTGGAAAAATGTTTTTTTAACAACTTTTTTTGACAACTGCTTTAGTAGCTTATAATTGGTCCGTTTCAAATATACGAACTAATAAAATAGAAATACATAGTCAATTGTCAAAAAGTTGTTAACATATCATGGTCCTTGTGTGCGATGAAGTTTCTTCCACTAATAGTGTATCTCCTAACTATGGTCAAGTATAGGCAAGAAAAGTTAGAGTTATATATATTAGAGTTGTCAAAACGAGCCACCTAGCCCGACCCGACCCGGCCCGGCCCACTACGGGTTGGTTACTTAGTGAGTTAACCCAACCCCGCTCATTTATTAGCGAGCCAGAAAAATTTGAACCCGACCCGACCCACCACGGGTTGGTGGGTAAACGGGTTGGCTCACTCGCTCACTTAATTACAATTTTTTTAAAATAAAAAAAAATTACAAACATTTTATAATTCAAATCTAAACAAATTTCACTCCCAAATTTTACTCCTAACGTGGGTGTTTAATTAATTTTTAAAATAAGAAACTTTAATAATTTTTTCAAGCAAAAACAAAATAATAAATATTTTTTTATAAAATTAAAATTAAATTTTAATAAAATAAAATTAGGTAGGTGGTTGGTGGGCCAACCCGGCCCACCACGGGTTCAACCCGCATGAGCCAGGTTTAAATGAGCCGGGTTGAAATCTGACCCGCATAAAAAAAATACAACTTTTTAAAACCCAACCGGGCTCAAATCCGTGATGGGCCAGGTTGACCCGCGGATTGAGACCCATTTTGACAGCTCTAATATATATATATATATATATATTGTTCCTTATTATCCAAAAGACCTAGGAGATTTTGTACTTCTTTTTTCTTTGATAGAAAAAAAGAAATTTTGAAATGTAGAAACAAAATTCATCGAAGAAAATACTCTATCCATAGAGGAAAAAATGAAAACTCTGAATCATTTTCTTGAAGCTCATCCTCTTCATCATAAATGATCCGCTTGTCCCGAAATGACCTGGCCCAATAGGGAAATCCCAAATTATTGGGCCTTTCAATACAATCAAATAGAAAGCCCCAAGGGCGCCATATTCTAGGAGCCCATCTTAGATATATTGGTACTAGCAGTAGCAAGTGCATCTTTGATGCATTCATCAATTTTCCTGAGAAGCAATTACCACTAGCAAACATATTAATGATGAGGAACACTTTTTTGTGCTATGCTAATAATACTTTACTTGCTCCGCTATTCCAAACCTGGCTGAGGAAGCGTAAAAAAAAATGGGGGTTAAAAGATTAGGGCATACTAAATTGATTTAATAAAACATAAAACAGTAAGGCCATTCCATTTCTACAAACTACTCACAAGTTCCATAGCTTTGGGTCTACTAGCCCGATCATGATTTTCCTACCCGCAGAGGGAAAAATCCTTCCCTTTTTTGGCCGGTTGTGGGTGAGGAGGGATTCGAACCCCCGACACCGTGGTTCGTAGCCACGTGCTCTAATCCTCTAAGCTACAGGCCCCACCCCGTCATCTCCACTGGATATCTGTTCCCCGGTGACGATACTATAGGGGAGGTCCTGCGGAAAAATAGCTCGGCGTCAGGATGATAAAAAGCTTAACACCTCTCATTCTTATTACTTTTTCAAATTATATACACACACGAAAAGTGGGTTCAAACTCTTACCTTTTTAAGTTATTATAATGAGTTTTTTTTAGGTGTTTCACAATGCATCTTCAACTCTTTCATCCAATAACTTTAAATTTTTAAAAATTCTACCACTGGTTAAATTATTTTTACCTAGATAAATTTATTATAACAATAAACTTTAACTAACTATGCTACACTTCACTTCTATTTAACATATTATTTTTTATTTTAATAAACTTAATTTGTAACACCCTGATTTTTGAGATGTCATGAGTTATTAAGAATAAATAAAATTTAAAATTTATTCTAGCGCGAAAATGTACTTAAAGAAAACCTTATCCAATTACATTATTTCGATTAATAAAATAACTAAAGAAATACTCCAATTATATTGTCTTAACTTGTAAAACAAAATAGCTTTGAATGCTTCCCAAGGTTATTCCCCATCCTCTCTCAAGTCAATCACGCCTCTGAAACATTTGTAACATTATCTGCTCACGTTAACGCATTATACGATCATCACTGATAATTTCATTCACAAACACACAAACACAAACATGTATGGGGTAAGCTGCCGATAAAACAATCACAACAACAAAAAACATACATATTGATTATGTCAACCATAATCAAACACACAACAAGATACATACCTTTTGATTATACCAACCATAATCAAACACACAACAAGATACATACCTTCTGATTATATCAACCATAATCAAACACCCCATACATAGTAGTAATAACAATAGGATTCCTAATCCTCTAACATAAACAATTTAATCATACTGAATTACTCGATCCTCGATCGTCGATCCTTGAACTTCGACCATCGATCCTTGATCTCTAACCCTTGATGTCATCACTAACATCTCACACATAGATCCTTAGTCTATCCACTCATTAGCACCCATGCTAACTACTTATTATAACCATTATAGTAACACCACTATCAACATAACCTGGAGTATCTCAAGTATCATGATAATCATCATAGATACACCACCATCATAACTATCCAGTCATGAACAACACCATGAGCATATTCGTACCACAATACCATAGTGTAAAGAGTCCATCTCACTCCTATACCCTACCTTACCAACTGTAATCGCTCCTAAAGTCCACTTGTAGCCTCTCCTACAGGATATTTGTAGTCTCCCCTAGAGATCATCTCCTTCTAATGCACACAAGACAAAAGGAAGCATCTATCCGCAGATAGAACCAGGATTTACGAGATACAACAAATAGACTTATCCTTCACTCTCATGCTCATCAATCACATACTCAGATACATCCCAACACTCACTCATGCTCTACTTTAAACCACAAGTCAAACTGACCTAAACACAAGTGTGAAAATGTTTTTTTTGGTAAGTACGAAGATTCTTTAAGAAAATTCAAAAATCTTTCGGAATTCTTCTCACAGCCAGAAGGTTCTAGATACTATTTTATGAGTTGGGCTGGATTGTTAAAAAGCTATGAAGCCTGAATAGTTTGGATGAACTGGCTAGAATTAATTTATTTTTCAAGCTTCTTTTCTTGAAAATAAAACTATTTAAATCAATAAACACAAATATATTAAATAAACTATAAATGTGTATAATTATTGGTGAATTTTTTTATCTATCAGTGAAATTTATGACAAATAGATTTACCAATAAAAATTTACTGATAAACTTCTATGATTATTGACAGGTTTTGTCCATTTTCACTTCTCGATTGTCTTGTAGCATAAGTATGATTAGAATTTAAAATAAATAAGATATAGAAGAAAAAAAGACAGAGAAAGGATTAAAAATTAAAGAGAAAAGAAAACAAAAAAAAGGAGTTGGGTAAGTAGGGTCACATTCCCCATTTTAGAAAAATAAAAAACAAAAAAAAAATTGGGAAACCTAAATAATTTGGCTGGAATTGGCTAAAGTTAACTTTAATTTTCAAGCTTTTTTCTTGAAAATTAAACTATAAATGTTTATAATTATTGATGAATTTTGTTATCTATTAGTGATAAAAAAAATTATAAAATTTACAGATAAATTTCTATGATTATTGACACGTTTTTGTCCATTTTCACTTTTTATTTTCTTGTAGCAGAAGTATGATTATATTTTAAAATAAATAAGATATGGAAAAAAAAGACGTAGAGAAAATATTAAAAATTAAAGAGAAAAGATTAAAAGTTAAAGAGAAAAGAAAAAAAAAAGTTGGGTCCGTAGGGTCAGATTTTCCATTTTAGAAAAAAAAAAACAAAGAAAAATGGAAAACCTAAACCGGTCTTTGGAAGAAATGATTTTTTTTAAGAAATTTTCTTTAAAAAATTATTAATTTTAGGGAAAAAAGTCCGCATCACATGTTCTTATTTCTTTCACTTTTTTCTTTTAGTTTACTTTTTTTTTATTTCTAGTATGTTTGTTTTTTTTGAAGAAATAATGTTTAATATTTTAATAAAAAATAGTTTCTCATTTTTTAATATAATTAAATATGACCAGTGGGAATATAATTAAAATAAAAAAGTTATTAAATTTATAAAAAATATTCTTAAAATATAATTATAAAGAAATAAATACAAAAATTAAAGATAATATGATTTATAATATAATTTATATTAAGAAGGGTAAAATAGATAGTATATTTTTTCAGGGCTTCATAATATAGGGAAATACAATAATTTAAATTTTTTGTTTGAAATATGAAATGAGGTATGAATAATGCGCATATTGATTTGACCTTTTGTTAAAAAAAATCCAACTGAAAATTAAAAGTAAAAAATTACAAGAAAATAAAAGAAGAGGTATGAATAAGCATATTCGACTACGAATAAGTAGTCCACAATTTAACCAATTTTAATTTTGTCCTA